TAGTATCATATAACTCAGCGTGATTCAGTATTTCACTATTATGTATTGCAGTATGATTCTCAGTTCCTGATTTTAAATCCCTGAATGTTGATCACCTATCTTTGGGCCTGAGGCCGCAGCTAATGCTTTATGCATCTTTGGGCCTAAGGCCGCAGCTAATGCTTTATGCATCTTTGGTCCTGAGGCCGCAGTTTATGCTTTATGCATTTTGGACCTGAGGTCGCAGTTATGTATACGTATACTTGGCCTGAGGCCGCAGTTTAATATTCAGATAAGCAGGTTGTTCATCATTCAGAAGAGGGAGTATTCATATCCTTACTTCCTTTATTCAGTTCAATTATCAGTTATCAGTTCAGTTATCAGTTATGAGTTATCTTTTCAGTTATCCGTTCAGTTACCAGTTCTCACTTCAGTTTCAGTTTCAATAGTTATCATTTCAGTTATCAGCTTAGTTTCAGTTTCAGCATTTATAATTCTTTCTTTCAGTTGCTTTACATACCAGTACAATTCAAATGTACTGACGTCCCTTTTTGCCTGGGGCCTGCATCTCACAATGCAGGTAATGATTAACAGGTTGATGATTCAGAGTGCTAGGATTCTCGTACCAGCTAATTTGGTGATCCCCAGTTCTTTCGGGGCATTATCATTACCTTACAGTTTTCGGTACTTAAAGGCAGTCAGTATTTTCAGTATATTATTAGAGGCTTCATAGACTAGAGTAACAGTTAGACAGAGTCACAGACTTTTCATATAAAGCCATGTTGGCTACAAATATGTTTCAGAATTGCATTAGTATTTCCGCACTTTGATTTATATCATCCACAATTTTCAGTATATCAGCATGTGTTAGTTTATCTTCTGCATTCAGTATGTTATGATACCACATGTTGATTCAGCCAGCCAGTTGGTTCGCTTGGTCACATGTAGTCAGGTGCCGAGTGTCGTGTTACGTCCAGGCCTAGGTTCGGGGCGTGACACAAGGGGTGCCACTACTCTTACATTGGGGTTTGCCGGCAGATCTCCAACGTTTCCAATGTTGTTTTCTGTGTCACCCATGTTTAATTCGAGCTGGTGTGACTGATGTGATTGTTGGAGCCTCTTGTTAGCACGGTTCAATGCCCTGAATGTTTTCTCGGGGTCTGAAAGTCCTTCTAGCAGTTCTCCAGTCCTCGAGGAACTTCTAGGCATACACCTGCTTTCCACAAGATTTCAAACGTTAGAATTTCAATGAAAAGATTGGGTATAGAGAAAACTGACTACACTTAGAATTTTTGTACTTCTTTCAATTGTAATTGATAACACCGTTAATTCCCCGGCAACGGCGCCAAAATTTGATCACGCTCAACTGAGTCTCGCAAAAGACTACGCGGGCGTTGCAAATATAATCTGAGTATTTATGCCCAGAGTCGAACCACAGAGAATTAACATATCAATTACTATTGTCGGATTTACTAAATTCACACAATTTGTTTCCCCAAACTTTTTGATTCACAATGCTTGATTTTTCTAACAACAAAGACTGAAAATAAGTAACAACTGGAAATTAACTATGCTTGATGTGTAAACAGTTGGAAGAAGGTCTAAGGCAATGGTTTCCCCCGTTGGTAATTTCCTTGGTTGTATATGTCTTGTAACTATGATTTAGTTGTCTCTATCAATCATGAACGCTCCAGCTATCATAAATCTTTCTCAAGCAATTATCATAATTTACTAGACGCGCTCTCTCAAGCTACGCTAGCTAGATTCACAATATGGTTCACTTAGATTGCACCCGAGGTATCGTTATCTCTAATCCAACCTCTAAACCTTTGGTTATGACTCTCGTCTATACTCCGGGAATGATGTTGTTCATATAATCACCTAAATATGCACTCTCTCTCAAGTAGATACATAATAAATAGGAACGGATAATTGAGGGCCCTTTCAACTAACCACAATCAATACAAAGATGAACAAATAGAGATTAACAACCAAATCCAACTATATTAATAAAACAACCAAGTCATCCCCAACGGGTTCCACCAAAACCTTAGATTAAGGTATTTAGCTGCTCATAACAATGGAGGAATAAACTACTAGAAGATTCATAATCGAAGATTGCAAGAAAAATAAAAGAGAATAAGAATAATGATGTTTTTGGTGATCTCTCACACTTGTTTCTCTTGCCAAAGTACTCTCAAAAGTAAGCTTTACCCTATGAAAACGATAATTTAACCTTGGGCGAGCTTGACTTTATATAGGTTAAGTGGGTTTCTCTCCAGATTTTCAATTTTAAACTCTTTTCCGGACCGGCCTCGCGCGAGCTCGCGCGTCATTCTGCCTCAACCCTTAACGCGCGCGAACTACTGCGCTAACTCGCGCGTCTGCTCGCGCATCTGGGCCATGATTTCTTCCATTCTTTGTCTCGTTCTTGCGCGCACTCAGCTCCGAGGGGTCGTTCTTGCTCATAAATCATTCCAATAGCCTCTTGAAAGCATCATATAAGCTCCTCATCCTGCAATGTATACAAATCACAATTAGAGCCTATTTTTCATCAATTAACCATATTATTACGTTGGAATATAATCAAGCGGAAGCATAAACAATAGCTAAATCACCTAGATTTCGCCTATTATCAACTTATTATTTTTATGTAATTGTAAGTTAATTTTATTATAAGTTATAATTGTACAAAAAATATATAATCATCTAAATAAATAAATGGTGCAAATATAAAATATTAGATGTTGCTAAAAGATAATAATATAATATTGAAGAGAGAGAAGAATATAAAATAAATTATTCTTTTTGGAGTAAAAATGGAGTAATGATTGGAGTAACTTTACTCCATTAAGAGCTTTGTTCAAGCTTCCGAAGTCTACTTATTTTCAGAAGTGTTTAGTTACTTCCCAAGGTATTATACGAGATTACAAGTTTTTACAGAGAAGAATTCAATTAATAAATTCAACTTTATTAATCAAACTGTAAAAAAATAAAATCACAAATCATGTCAAAACTTTAATCCATTTTCTGTCGATATAAGTTATTTTATAGTATTAAAAGTTAAATTGGTAAAAATATAAACTTAAATCAATATAATAAAACAATATTAGATAAAATGCATTCTAAAATGAATGAATTGGTATTAAGTTTTTGTTTCTTTTCACATTTATTTCAACACATGATATCTCCCTATATTTTTTTTATATTAAATTATATTGGTAAAATATTAAGGCAACATTAGTAATTTAGACTTTGCATCATTACCTATCGATTTGTTTTTTTATTTTCAAATCTCTAAAATACCAAACAATTTAACTTTTTAATTTATTTTATTTGACAAGATTTTTGTCATTTATTTGTTTTCAGTATTAGGTAAAAGAGAATAAGTTTAAAATCACAATAAGGCATCTAGGGACTTTTCTGGAGCAGGCTTTTGTCCATTGAGTTAGCTGAATGAGATTAGCATTCATTATTTTCAAGAACTTATCCTTTTGAAAATTTTATTTTTATATTAATGATTAATTAAAATTCTGTACCCCTTAATATAAATACACGCGCAAAGCGCGTACCTTAAGACTGAGTGAATTTATTTTGTACCGCTAGTTGTTTGAGGCCTCTTTTTATCTCACACATTTGTGGACCCATATCTTACACATTTGGGTCAACAAAATTCTGAGATCACAAATGTGGTAAAAATTGTGTGGGCTAGCCACTTTTTAAAGTGGTATTTACTTTTTATCCAGCATTTGCAATGCTTAGCAATAGTAGCCACTAGTCTATTAAAACTAATATGAAAAGGTTGTGTTACCCTTTCTTCTATCTCTTTCATGTTAGGGAGAAGAACTGTGCCGCCGTCTGTGAGACGGCGACTGTCGTGGACTCTGCCGACATCTATGATCTTGATTGTAGACTAACACATATCAGTAACTTATTTTGTTCATCACTATCGCACTCTTTATCATCCTCATCCTTTGTATTCTCAGAATCATCATTAGACAAATTATCTTGGGACACTAAATCGTCGTCTCTTGTATTTTCATCAGACTAGTAATGAAAAGGTTATGTAGATTTGTCTTATCAATGTTGCATCCAAGCCGAATCTGACATCAATCTTATATGTAAATTGCAATTATTATTATTATTATTATTATTATTATTATTATTATTATTATTATTATTATTATTTTGGTGCAAAGATACAAATAACGTTTGGTTTTCTGCTATGTTATGGATCCTGAACTTACAGTTACAAGTTCAAAAGTTAAGGACAATTGGTCCTGAACTTCGAGTTCCAAGTTCAAAAGTTAACGACACTTGGTCCTGAACTTAGACTAACAAGCTCAAAAGTTAAGGACAATAAGTCTTGAACTTACAGTTACAAGTTCAAAAGTTAAGGACAATAGGTCGTGAAGTCCTGAACTTAGACTAACAAGCTCAAAAGTTAAGGACAATAGGTCCTGAACTTAGACTAACAAGCTTAAAAGTTAAGGACACTTGGTCTTGGACTTACAGTTACAAATTCAAAAGTTAAGGACACTTGGTCCTGAACTTAGACTAACAAGCTCAAAAGGGAAGGACAATAGGTCCTGAACTTAGACTTACAAGTTCAAAAGTTAAGGACAACTAGTCCTTAACTTAGAGTTACAAGCACATAACTTAAGGACAGGTGGTCCTGAACTTCGAGTTCCAAGTTCAAAAGTTAAGGACATGTAGTCCTGAAGTCCTGAACTTAGAGTTGCAAGTTCAAAAGTTAAGGACACTTGGTCCGAACTTTTATGAGCAGAAGGGTGTTTTCGTCCGGGCAGGTAAAGTTTATTAAAGCAATGGCTAAAGACTAAAGATATTTTAAACAGTAGCTTAAAAGTAAATATATATGTTATTAGTGGCTAACCGTGCACTTTCCCTCACAAATGTGAGACAAAAAAGAGGCCTCACACAATTTTTACTTGAGACTAGTTTTTGAAAAAGTATATGTGAGGCCTAACGAAGACAGCTAGCTGCTGACCTGGACAATACATGACGTGTCATTGCTGACATGTCACTCTTCTTCTTCAACCTCCCCCGTCAAATCTCAACAACCCAAAACACCACTTCGCCGTCGGTCCAAAGCCATGAAACCCCCAAAAAACCACCAGAAACAACACCAACAGATCCCAAAACCCAAAGCCAACAAACCCATCAAAGAGATCCTATGGGTTTCCCTTGTAGCCACTTGCATCAAACTCCTCCTCATCCCAGCTTATCACAGCACAGATTTCGAAGTCCACCGTAATTGGCTTGCTATTACTCACTCCCTTCCCCTTTCTCAATGGTACTCTGATCAAACTAGCCCATGGACCCTCGATTACCCTCCCTTTTTTGCCCATTTCGAGCATTTCCTTTCTTTCTTTGCTTCTCTTGTGGACCCCATCATGGTCCATCTTCATCATGGGCTCAATTACAAATCATTGCCCACGATTTATTTTCAAAGACTTACTGTTATAATATCTGATTTTGTGTTGGTTTTTGGTATTTATAGATTGACAAGGAATTTGGGGTATAAAGAGAGAGTCTTGATCTGGGTTTTGGTTATTTTTTCGCCTGGGTTGATGATTGTGGACCATTTGCATTTTCAGTATAATGGGTTTCTTTTGGGGATGCTTTTGATTTCGATTTCAGCTTTGGAGGAAGGGAATGATTTGCTAGGTGGTTTTGTTTTTGCAATTTTGTTGTGTTTTAAGCATTTGTTTGCTGTTGCTGCTCCTGTTTATTTTGTTTATTTGTTGAGGCATTATTGTAGGGGTGGGTTGATTAGAGGGTTTGGAAGATTGGTTATTATGGGGAGTGCTGTTGTCACTGTTTTTGCTGCTGCTTATGGCCCTTTTCTGTATCATGGACAGGTAAAAATTTGCTCTTTTGTCCATAGGAAAGTTGTGATCTTTTAGTTCTCTGTGTGAGTTGATAGTTAGTTCTCAATTTGGATCGCGTAATAAGTTGACATTTAGGTTCGTAGAACAACAACAACATCTCAATCCAAGCTTGTTGGATTCAGCTATGCGAATTCTCACTAACCATGTTACTCCATTCAGACTTTAGGCTCGTAGAATGATAATAAAAATTGCTCCAGTGTTAGCTAGTTACAAGATTGTAGAAACATGGTGCTGATTGCTGAATGTACTTCCTTAAATCTTATTGTCTTGTTCTTTCATTCTTGTAGTCTGATAGATCATGATGCTTGAAATTTGCTGCAGTTAGATAACCTTGTTTCGAATTTAAGCTGATCAAAGTGGTTGTTTCTGTTTATTGAATGGTATGGTAAAGTAGGAAACTCATTGCCTGTGTAATCTACCATCATCCTGATAATTTGCCATCAACCCTGTTGCAGATACAGCAAGTGTTCCATCGAATGTTTCCTTTTGGTCGGGGACTCTGTCATGCTTACTGGGCTCCCAACTTCTGGGTATTCTATATAATTTTTGATAAAGTGTTAGCATTTTTACTTGTAAAAATGGGTTTCAACGTCCAAGCACCGACAGCTTCATTCACTGGTGGACTAGTTGGGGACTCCACTCCTTTTGCTGTGTTACCTAGAGTAAGCACACCCATTCATCTCATCATCCAACATATTGTGTGTGTGTGTATCTTGTTTGTTGACAATAACTTCGCTAACTCAAGATTCTTAGGAATCTTGAAATTTGAAACATGGTAAAAGAGTAACCTTTCACCAAATAATATTAGTTTGAGGGCTTTTGAACAGTCTACGCTTACACAGACCTATATATTGCAGATCACGCCCATGATTACCTTCGGTTTTGTCTTGCTTGCAATAGCTCCATGTCTTATAAAGGCTTGGAGAGAACCCCAACCAAGGATGATTACTAGATGGATAGCCTATGCTTACACATGCGGCTTTATGTTTGGCTGGCATGTTCATGAGAAAGCTTCACTTCACTTTGTGATTCCCCTTGCCATCATTGCCTTGAAAAGTGTGGAAGATGCAAAACACTATTTCTATTTGTCCATAGGTAATACCCTGTTTTACTCACTTTTTAGCGATGGCTGACCTCTCATAGTCATCTCATCTGGAAGACTTGACTTTGTATTGCTGCGTGATTTATGTGATAGTCTTTTACCATCTCAATTTACAGAAAAAATCATATTTTTATATCTTAGTGTGTAGTTCACTCGCTCTTCTGTTTGCTACCATCTTCTAGGAGTTGTTCCTACATTGGTGTTTCTTTTGTTCTTATATTTTATTTTATTTTTCCTGTGAATGGCTCATTTTATATGACTGTACAAAATTTAGAGCTCTTTCAGTTGGAAACTTTCAAATGCCATTTTACTATTAATATCAATATTATGTCTCATAAAGTGTCATGGTACTCCAATGGGTCAAAACACATTTTTCACAAGTGCTGCCCGTGCAGTTTGTCTTTAACATGATGAATCAGTAATACATTGCATGATTACTAGGCTTCACAATTAAATTTCACTGGAAAATGTACACGGATTTGGTGTTAAACCAGATTGTGGCATACATGATTTGTATATTTCTGCTTAAAACCCAATTTGGTTTTAATAAAAAATTATCTATGCCTTTGACTAAAAAAAAAGGGGCCTCCATTACTTTTGCTCTAAGTTGCTCGGACTCGGGTGCGGGTATCCGATACGGGGACGGATCCGAGTATCGGATTCGGCAAAATCTAAATTTTAAGATTCGGGGGTACGGATCCGGATATGGATACGGGTGCGGAGATTCGGCTAATAAAAAATAGAGCTATAAAAATATTGTAAATTTTGAGAGATATTCTATGAAAAACTTACATGAATATTGTAGAATTCAATCTTTCATTCTCCAAGATGGACATTATTCTTTCATTGTCCTAAATCTGTTTTATTTTTGATTTTGAGAAATCAAAATCTCAATTTTTCTCCCAAATTTATCGATGGACTCCGGTTAAAGTGTCCGAAGTTAGTTGACCGAATCCGGGACGTATCCCGTCCCCTTCCCTGTCTCGTATCGGGACGGGTACGACACCAAAATCGAAGAGTCCGCGCAACTTAGCTTAGATTTCATGCTGAAATTCTTTCCTATTTTTCTGGTGTAAGTGGTCTTTTTTGAGAAGCTATAAACCAGATTGTGGCATACATGATTTGTAAAAATGAATTACTAGAAATGCTCCCTAAGTAAAAACTCATACTATGTTCTATGCTGTATGTCGGTCAGTTTGTTATAGTGGTATTCTTGAGCTATCCAACTTTCACCAGCGTCTCAGATTTTTCATGGCCGACGCCAAAATTATCCTTATTAAGCTGTGTGTTTAAAATCTTTCTAGATGGAATAGGACATCTATCAACATACTATCGTGGCGTTCTTCCTTTGCCTGTTTTTCGTTACTAATGTTGTGCTGCTGCAGCTGCTATTCCTTGTTCCTTTTTTACTTGTTTTGTACTGCCCTGTAACTTTTATTTCCCGGTAACTAACATGTAACCTGCTGTGCATGCAGTGTCCTGCTATTCTCTTTTCCCGCTATTATTTGAAGCCCAAGAGTATCCAATTAAGGTTCTCTTACTGCTGTTACATGCTTCACTGATGTGGATTGGGTTCTCCTCGCATTTTGCGACAACTGCTAGAAAAACAGCTGAATCTGAACAGAAAAGATATGACAAAACGAGGTTCGTCATTGGTTGGTTTGGGAAGTTATACTTGGTAGGTCTCCTGGCTGTTGAGATATATGGACAATTAGTTCATCCTATCCTCTTCACTGAGAGGCTTCCTTTCTTGCCTCTTATGTTGATCAGCATATACTGTGCCTTTGGAATGATGTACTCTTGGATGTGGCAGTTGAGGCAGATTATTAAGTTACATTAACACATGTAGGATACAAATACCAGCTGCTTATATACATATAGTTTAGTACACGTAGCTAAAATGCTCAATCTAGATTGGCTTTGTAGCATCATCTGTAGACAGTTTTGAGAATTTTCAATCTAATACCGGAGTTTCTTAGACGGCAATAGCTTTGTTATTGACTTGTATCCGAGTTGTTAATGCTCATTTCTTTTCTTAAAAGATTTGCAGGAAGTTGTGTGTTAAAATTTCAATATAAAGAAGAATCTACCTCATTGGTTTTTGGTGCTTGTTTGACATCTTTTGTTAGTTCTTTATTATGTCTTTCTGGATATTAGTTCCACTCATATAGTTGAAACAAATAGAATCTTTGCTGGTTTGCACATAAAATATGGAGACTTGGCCCGTCGCAATATAAAAATTAATGGTAGCCATATAGTAAGGCTCATTGTAAAGATGTATTAGGGAAAATAATACATGTATTAGCTTTGGTGTTATTAATCCCTTTTTGGTAGTGTTTTTCCACCTGTGTATAACTTATATTAGTTATACATCCTATTAAGTATTTTTATGCATAGCAAACCATGATATTAGTAATACCATAGTTTTAAATACTTGTATAAAGATAAAACTGCCCTTTCAAAACTTTTAATACACCAAACCGAACAGTCGATAAGAAATAATATCAGCATAACTAATCCCAACATTACTAATACATCATATTCGGTATTATTCTTATAGACCCTACCAAACGACCCCTTAGTGACTTATTGATGGCAGAATTATTTGGTATTTGTATCTAGGGGTGTCAATGGATATTTAAAAACCGACTAAACCGTCCGAACCGTACCGTACCGAACCGATTTTTAGGTTTCTTTTAATAAAATCGTAGGTTTTTATATAAATATATAACCGTACCGATAATTAGGGCAGGCTTTTTATTTTGTGAAAATAAACCGAAAAAATACCGAACCGTACCGAATAAGTTTACATGTAGAAAATATATTTATATATTAAGTTTAAAAATAATAAAGCATTAAATTTTTTTTTAAGCATTGAAATTATAGAAATGGAAGCCAACGAGTAATTAAACTCAAAATCCGAATTTTCAAAACTATTATGCTACTCCTATTGAAACTAAATTATTTTCAACATATTCGCTAGCAAGACACAAGGTATTCTAGCGATTATGAGTAGCAAACTACAATGTATTGAATATGTTTCCTTTCGTATTATTTAAATTTATCTTTTTGAATTTTAATCTTCCATATACTTTATTCTTGAATCCCAGCTTGGTTAATATCTTTTTCATTCATATGATTTATATTTTCTTTGTCTTTGCTTAGTTTCTATCATGTTGTCGAATAATTGATGGATTTAATGTTCTGGCCATCTTTCATGTTTCCTTAATCATCACCCTTTAAAGAGTAAAAATGTCTACAGAGTTTTGTGAAGTCCTATAAAAGTACGTATGCTATTGCATTCTACTTCTACTAGTAATTTTTACCTGACATTTAAAAAAAATACCGAAAATTAACCGAACCGTACCGATACCGAAGAGAAACCGACATGATTGGGACGGTTTCGGAAAGTCTAATTTTAGTTATACATAATAAAATAACCAAAAATTGATATGGTACAAATTTTATAAAATAACCGGCCGAACCGAACCATTGACACCCCTATTTGTATCCAATGGAAAGTTGAGATGCGTCACAAGTTGATTCAAGGAAACAAAAACAGAATAAAAGAAATGGGGGACAAATCTATGCTAACTATTTGTTCAATGGGTTAACATTTTGCATAGGAAATAGACTGTGAAATTCAAGAGGAAAAAAAAATTGATGCATTGAATCCTAAAAACTGGTAAACCTGCTCTTTACCAACATTAACCTGGTTGATTTGGATTGCTTCAACTGATTCAATCAATTTTTTAATTGGATTAGATTGGCTTGATAAATCACAGTCAATGTCGGTGATTGAATACTTTTAAGTGCTAATAAAGTCTATATTGTTAAAACCAACGAATATAAGATTTTATCTAATGATTTAAGAGGAAGATTTATACGGTTAGAAGTAAGAAAATATATAAAAACCACGACTTTCTCATTAAAAAAATAATTTAAGAGCATATTCGAAAAGACAAAATATTATGAGAGATACCTGTATGCTCTAAACAATTTGTGGATTGGACAGGAAATCTAGTTATATGCTTGTTCCCAAAGAAGAGTAGGAAGTTTCAAATATTTTAGTGGGATCTTATCCACAGGCCAAGGTCCTCTTCGAGAAATATAATAAATTAAAGAAAAAACAGTTTAATTTTACTATTCAATTTTCAAAGGAATATATTTGAATTATCTCTCAGTAAGTTCCTTGATAATGACCAAATATATAAAAGAACAGATAAAATATTAGGTTCTTTGTTGTATAGTCAATTTGGAATAAGTATAGAGGTTTTAATGAATTGTACCATTTCTCACCCTTCCTATTTTTAGTAATTTTTATTTTCTCAATGCGAGTTATTTTATACTTGTATAAGTCGTCATGGCATTGCTCATTAACCCCATATAAAAAGAATCTTTGGTCTTTATCAGCCTTCCAATTTTTATGCTTTTTCTATTTGAGTCCTTTCTTTTAGAATTTTTTTTCATTCTTAGAATTGGTCTCGTGTAAAGCTCATTAAAGAGAGAAGCAGTCTTTAGTTCTTACAATTTTTTTTTTCATTCCAAAAACTCGAGGTCAATATCTATGAAAAACTAGTTATTGCTCTAACCTTGCTTACTCAATAGTAAACTCAATTTAATAATAATAATATCTTATTATTCGAATTACGTTACTAACATTGGTCCATTTGTAATACCTAATTCACTAACTAAACAAATTGACTTTCAAATCAATACATCATGTTTCTACACTTTAAAAAAATATATTTTTTAGTTTCCTCAACATCTCATTATCATGAAGTATGTTATTCTCTTGAAATAATATTTACAAATGTTATTATAACCATGTTCATTAAAAATTCTTGATTATCTTTTACTATAATAAAGCCACATATCAACCAGATGTAAGTAATTCTAAGCTTCGTGGACCGTGGTTGCATTCATAAGCTATCTTTTGACTGTAATCTATAACCTTCTCATTTAAATACTCCCAAAATCTAATAATCGTAAATCATTTTCTTTTTACCTAATAATCAGCAAATCCTTATTTTAACTGTTGATCCATTTCATCACTTGGTCAGTAGTCTTCGACATGAACGGTAAGGAGAATGAGTAGATAATATTGACTAAAAACAAGAAGTAAACAAGAACAATTTATCAAAAATACTGTATCGTGGCAAGTCACTGTCTTGAAAGCGATTTCGGCCCGACCGGATGCAAATCATTAAGACCGGTCGCTCCCAAGGTTCAGCAGCACCTCCAAACACGTGCACTCGTGGCTGGAAGTTTAGAATTTGCACAAAACAGTTGCCTAGAAAGAAGAGAAGATAAAGGTATTTTCTGTTTTAGATAATTCACAAAGAAGACTGCCTTTTATAGGCAAAGCTGTTACAGTTACAGATGAAGAAATTAATTTGTAGCTGTTACAGGAAATGAAGATGGAGCTGTTAAAAGAATTAACCACATCTGTTACTAAATTAAACACAACTGTTAGAAAAATTAAAACATGGCAGTTATAAAGAAATAAATGAAACGTTACAAAATTCAATTCAAAGAGAGTGAATTTGGACATATTTTGGTAAGCTCAAAAAATGAAGAAGTAAGTTTAGCAAAATCAGATTTGGAATAGGCCTCACATATATCTCGCGCACGGGGGGG